AGATCCATATGGATGACAACGGTGAGGATATGTTGATGAAGACTGTGAGTAGAGACAAGCTCCTGTTTTATAGACAGGAAGCAGGTTCGCAATTGAGGTGAAGGGGGAGATTGTTGGGCCCGGTGTTCCCCTCAAATTGGGCCAACGAGAAAAATAAAACCAAGCCTAACTAGGCTTTGGTTTTGGCTTGACCGAGGGAAACAAAAACCCTTTACAATTTGGTTTTGTTTTTTATGCTTATAAAAGCAAGGTAGCACAACTCTTTTGTGCATGTTTTGACCGCACGAAGGGTTTTTTGTGCGAGTTTTGAGGTTTTGGTGTTGCGAGAAGAAAGTGTTTTACTTTGTAGCTTTGATCGGGTGACGAAACAGAGTCAGTTATTGGTGCAAGTTTGCACATTGGTTCCTCTGAACAAGATCTCCAATTCCTCCGATTTAGTTTTCGGTTTAGCTCTATTTTTATTGAGATTCTTCTAATCCTACTTTGTGATATGTGTGTGTAGAAGAGTATTATTGTAATCCACCTTTAGGTGAAGTCCTGTATATCCACCGATTGGTGAATACTGTTTTCCCATTATTGTGATAGTGGAGATTTGACTGTTGTTACAGTCCCGTGGTTTTTTCTGATTTGGGTTTTTCACGTAAATCTGTGTACCTACTTTACTTTATCAGTTCTTTGATTGTTTACTTGTTTGGTTGTCCTATTTTATTGGTAGTAAGAAAGGAGTTTTTCCTGAGATTCGTTTCAGCTGGTTTGTTGAGTTTATGCCCTTTCCGCCACAACAGTGGTATCAGAGCCCAGGTTGGGCTAGTTGGGTTGATGATTTAGCCCAAATTATCTCAGTTGATCTGACTGAACTCAGGCAGTCAAAGGCCCACTACGAGCAGAAACGTAGGTATGGACGACCCAGTTACTCAGGTGGAGTACAGATTTGGCTTGTTAAGATAATTTAGAAGTCCGATGTGGAAATTGCTCATGACGGGAGAGAATCTTGAGGGTCATGTGGCAAGGGTTGTAAATCTCACATTAGAGGCATGAGGACATGTGAATTAATTAATAAGTAAGGTGGATTCAGAACCCATTAGTTTGAGCTTTTGAGTTCAGATGGGTCTTATCTTACTTATTGGGCTCCATGTCTGGTTTTCTCCTCCGAATAAATCCCCAACAGTTACTTCCATGCATGGTTTTTAAACGGTAGTTTTGCATGCGTTTTTAAATCAATTGTGTTGGTTTTGTGTTCTTTTATTTTGTAGAAAATATGGAAAGCAAGATATAGCTTTATATATGAAATATCAAAGTTTAATTTTTGATCTATCATCATTCATATTATGGAACATGTTTCTAATCTCTTGGGTGTTTATGAGCTACGTGCTAAGTCACAATCGGAACAACAGTTGTTAGAAGATATTTTCAAAGTTCGGGTGTCAAGACATGATAGATCGAGACTCAAATTCTTATTCCGGGAAAAACCGCTTCCTTGTGGATATGCATTAAATGTGGATGGATCCGGCGCTAGGGAATCCAGATGCAACTAGCTAAGTTATCTTATTAGAGGTGATCAAGGTAATTTCATCTATGCAAAATGTAGATATTTGGGCTACAATTAAAGATTTGAAGGTGAAGTGGAGGTAATGCATGCTGGATTGAAGCAATGAGCGAATCTACATCTACGAAATGCGCAATTAAGGTCTGATAATCAAATGATTGTAGACATTCTCGAGGATATCATTATATCCATGGAAATAAAGGGTTGCCTTGAAGGAGATAAAAAGCATTTTGAATAGAATGCAATATCAAGTTATGCATGTCTACTGAGTTGTTAATTCTATGGTAAGTGACTACTAGCTTAGTTATTGCTTATACAACTCTTTGGACAAGAAATTCTCAATATAATTTTCCCTTCACTGTTTGAACTCAATGCTACATAATGAACTCGTACTCCCTATCATACGAGTCACCAATTATTGGTAATACACAAAGGCTAAGAAACTTTTTTACCATATCGACAAATTTCTCAGAAAATTAATCTACTTGATTGGTGACATGTGGCATCATCTACATGTATAATCAGGAGGATCACTCCAAACAATTTCAGTTACATGAGAAATTTTTTTGCATGTGTTAATCAATAATACCTGACATAAAAAAGGGATGAGAGGAAATGACCTAATTCAGTCTGTGAATGTATGTGTCATAATAGTGAAACGAGACTGTTTTATTTACAAATACTCTTTCTGTCCCAAAATTATTATCCACTTTGAGATTCTACTTTTAGTTAATTTGAACTAAAAATAAAAACTCAAACTGGACAATAATTATGGGACGGAGGGAGCATAATTCTTTTAGATAATGACGTGAGAGTATCCTCAATGGTAGCTAGCGTGAGGGTGCATGGAAAGGAAATCTTGCTAAGCTCCAAAATACTACACTACACCCTCGTAAAGCTAGGAAATCATAAGACTCTGGAGAACCAATTAATTTTTAGGTGAGGTTTGAAAAGTATTTTGACTGTGTGAAATTATCAATCATTGAGAAAGGTAACTGCGCAAGTGTCTGTACTCTTATATGTATTAAAGAGTCTCCCAACAGTCCAACACCGATGTTGGATTAGACGCTTTAATATTTTCCCGCAATCTCAACGTATTTTTTGGATTGAGTTTCTCCTATTTTTTCAGCCCAGACATCGCCTCACCTCTCAGCCTTTTTTTTTTATTAGGCATTTTGGAGTCCGAATGTCAGTGGACTAACTCTGATACAATAAAGAAGCACATGGGTTACACCTCAAAACCAATTAACAATGAGGGGAGTAGCCCGTGAACCTTATATATTGATACTTAGAGTGTTCCAACACCGATATGAGATTGGAATTCTTTAATAATATGTAACTAGATGCTTGTCCCGGGCAAATGCCCGGGGGCGTCCCACCTAATAAATCAATATGTAAATAATCAAAACTGATTAGGAATGAATTTAGTTTTTGATGAAGATAATTGATTGACCAGAAATTAATTTTTTCGGAAGTCCTAAATAAATGGAGAAGGAAAATTTCATACACTGTCAAATTCAAAATTTGAATGAATGACCATCTGATCTCTTCGTTAATATTGTAAATATATTTTTTATTTTTAAAAGGAGGTGACACGTGGCAGAATGATAATGCAATATGATGCATTTGGAGCCAAAATATTTTAATAAGAAAATGCCACATCAGCATCCTGTTTTCTGCTTTAATAGGGTAAAAGGGATATACATATGTGGAAATTTTTGACACGAGAGTTTGATTAAATTTTCTTTAAAAATTCAGAAATATTCTTTTCCTCAATTATTTTTAATAACTTACTTCGTATCGAATTTTATCATTTATAGTTTATGAACTCAGATTGTATATAAAAATAAAAAAAACACACACACACATAATAATAATAAGAAACTATTAGTAACAACAAATGAAGTCCTCACTTAAACGTTTAGTTGGGTGTTTAGTTGCCAAAACAAATACACTCCTATTTTGTGACACCAAATGTAAGAAAAAGGTTCACGCCAAAAAAAAGAGCCAGTGGTGAAAAGATTGCACTACTTGGCCAACCGATCCGGTTGAGTCAAACTCAAACGGTCAAACCCAATACCCAACAGCTTATTGGCAAAAAAAAATTTGAAAATGTTTTTTATTTGATGTCGTTGACAATTGTTTGAAAGTCAAAATATACCGAATATTTGTGTGTGTGTGGGCGAGGGCGTGTGCTTGTCCTTAAATGGTGCAAATATACCGTCCAGATTAAATCAAGGCTGCATATGTAAGCGTGGGAGTCTTCTTGGTAATAATTCTACACTCCTCCTCCCGATTCCCTAGTCCCCAAAATGTGAAGACTTTGAGATATTGAAAAAGCAAAGCTTCAACTTTTTCTTCTCATTTTTCCAAGTCAGTTCTTTGTTACTTACTGTTGGGGAAAGATAGAATCCTATGCTCCTTTCTTCACCGCACTAATGAGTTTACACTTCATCAAAAACTTAAGTCATAATGAAAAGCAAATCCACAACTTAGAAAAGAAAAATTAAAAAGCACTTGGTACAAAACAACAATATTTATCACATAATCCTTCTGTTCGAAAAACTAGTATATTTTGTTGAACATAATGATTTTCTTTTTTTTTCTGGTGTGGGAAAAATGTATCTTTAGTAAAAGTATATATATTTTAACAAAGTTATGCGGATTATATTATATGTACATCAATATTGCGTTACTTATTGAGTGTTAATGTGGTAATAATAAACATTTTCCCAAATAAATATACCACCCAAATAATTCTGTGAAATAGAAAAATTCTTGGGGACATCAATAATGCTACCGGATGTGATTAAAGTCACGCTCCTGGCATCAACTTGGTTTTGAATAAATCTGTAATCTCTTGGTGGAAGCGCCAATCTACTGTTAATTTACAAAATTTAGTTGTATCTCTAATGCGTAAATATTCAAATTAAATCACTATATTCAAATGATCTCACTTGCTTAACTAGGACATAAACCCTGTTAGAAAGACAGCGAAACATAACTAACAAATAGTAACAACGAAAAAAAAAGTACTTTTCTTCCCCTATTTTTCGTGGTGGGAAAGATTAGAGAAAAGATGGAGGCTTTTCTTTTATGTAGGATGTGACTAGGGAGTGCATGGTTTTATTTTCTCTAACAATTCTCTTTCTTTCTTTTTGTTTTTGGGTTACAAAAAGCATATGTAATTTAAAACGTCGAATAGTTTACCAACAATGATCAAGGTTTAATCCCGGGCATGGATTTGTAAAAGTGATCATAATGTTTGTTGATAGAGTTCTGTCTCTTGAAGAACCTGAATCCTAATCAATCCGAATTAAATCACAATATTTGTTGATATAGTTCTGTCTCTTGAACAAACTTAATCCGAATTAGTCGGGATAGTTGTTTTAGAGAGAAAGATATAACTGTAAATTACTTACCACAATTTATTTACCTAAAAGAAATGTATAAACTCCGAAAGAATAATAATGATAAATTACTTGCAATAATCAAGTTAGGGTTTGCTTTCTGAACTATGGAAGATCGAGGTACAAAATAAATTGTCGATGGTACATGTGAAATAATAGTAATTAGAAAAAGTACATCAAAAATATGAATGAACTGTGAATATTGAGATTTGAGAAAATTGGTCATTTTCCAACCGAAGATCTACTTTGACATTTTAGGTCTGTCATTGTTCAAACAGAAGCTTCAATCCTAGGTTCAAATGTGAATGCACAACTAAAGTCTTTCACTTCACCACCAACACTACATTTTGGTACTTCTTCCCACTGATTTTCCACCAAATTGCACAAAAAATAGCTGCAAACTTCTGCAGAATTCAAGCACACCAGAACCTGCTTCTCATTTCCACCACCACTGCAGTTTATATCAACTTTCTTACCATAGAATTCATGCGACATTGATGGAGGCATTGCTGCAATCTGATCCCAAGATTGAGCCAATTCATCAAATTTCCACACCCGAAGACTCGCGCTTTCGAGGAATTCCATGAGCAGAACCACGTAAACTTCCCCATTGGACTCAACCAGATCGATTGAGTACTCGTAGCAAAGTGGCAATATCCTTGGATATTCAAAGTAGGATTTCTTGGTGAGATTGCAAGCGACAATCCTCCCTGAATTGCTGAAGAAATACATGATCTTTTCGGCGTTTCGATCAATTATAACCGATGAGTACTGCTTACACGGGCTTCTCTGCAAATCGGTTGACACGACATTCCCGCATTTGCTCAGGAAATAGACTGCATGATCATCATCGTCTTCCATCGCCGATGACCCTGTTTCAGAACAGGGGTGAGCAGAATGATCAACGGAATCGGATCTCCGATGATGCATTTTCTCTTCCTCCTCCCACTGATGCTTCATTGAGCTGTAAACCCGGAATGAAAGTTGTGAAATTTCACCATGGACTAAAACAATTTTGTATGATTCTGGGGTGGAAATCATGGCTATGGCTTGAAGATGGTTAATGCTCTGTTCAGAGCTTCTTAAAGGAGGAAGCTTTTTGTAACTGGAAGTTAAAGGGTTGCAAACTATGAATTCGAATTGGGAAGACATGAAACAAATCAGACCTCCAGATGCTGCAACCGGCACAAAGTTGCCGGAGCTCTGTTTTTCCAGCTGCTGAAAATATGGCGAGGAGAAAAAACTGATCTGCTTCCAGCTATTTTCAGCAGAGTCAAAAACAAAAAGTGGGTTTTTCAATTGAGGATCCTGCGGATCAACCATGAAGAACCATGGTTCCCTTGCTGGGATTTTCGAGCAGGTAAGCTTAAAAGTGGCTGAACTGGCAGCTGATTTCCATCTTTTGCAGACAGAAGTGAGGCGATAGAAGTTGGAGGTTGGAAGCCAGGCGAGAACTTGTTCAAGAAGATCTTGATTCAGCTCGTCCAACTGGAAAATGGAACTTGATCTTGATGAGCTTTCAGTTTGGAGTAATTCGGGACGTTTTCTTTTCCTGGCGCTCTTCTCTAAAGCAGCAGGATGGATTATTGCAGTATCCTCCATTGATGAGGAAAGGAAAAAGGGATTGAACAACAAAAGAAAAGAAAAGAAAAAAAAAAATAGCAAAACAAAGCTGGAAAGATCAGATGAAGAATTGCACCATATATCGGTCAATGGTGCTCTGTTTTCTCAGCTAACAAATCTCAGTTCAACAGAGTGAAAACAGAGTGTGATGGTTGGGAACTTGCAGAACAGGATTCCCATTTATAAAGCGAAAGAATTCTCCCAGTACGGTTAATTGCATTTCGAGCCCCTGAAGTTTCCTTATCTCCTCCTCTCTCCTCTAATTTCCAGAATTTCACTCAAGTATTTTCCAAACATACTTTGTCACTCAAAAATGAAAACAAAACATCTCTTAGGTGTGATTCTTATCTACACATTTCATGTTAGAAATATCCTCAATTTTAAGAAACTGATATAAAAATTTTTATTAAATCTTTTTCACTAATAATGCAAGTATGTAATAGAAAACAAAAATACTAGCAAATTAAGTATGAACATGTATAATTTCTTTTCTATCTCATTTTTGACCATCTTAGTTTACGACCTTCAACATATAATGAAATTTTAAAACCCCTCAAAAATATCTTATTTGGCAGACAAACTGCATGAGAGGAAAAATAACTACATTTTCTCATTCCTAATACAATCAAGAGCCCTCCAAGGCACTTGATTGGCCGGACTGCATCGCTGGATAAATAGAAGGCTAGTGAAATACTATATAACATTTATGTAGAATACGGAGGCAAGAAAGTGTAGTTTGTCATAATTATTGGGATAGATTGAAAATATGAAGTTTCATAAGGATCCCCTTTTTTGATTTGGCGTTGACAAAGTGGTGGAAGGAGGGGGGAAAAAGAGACGGGCCCACCCCGGTGGCCAATGTGCATGGTTTTAAGAGTATTGTCACGGGTGGATTATGAACAAAAAGAAAAAGCCAAACAGAGTACTCGAGACGGGGTGGGGCCCTTTATTTTTTTTTTAATTTTTACCTGACCTCTTTTACTTACGAGTGAACGAACACAAAGGAAAGAACCTCAAATTCTATGTAACGAGGATTATTAAACGGAACACGCACAGTCCTTATCGATCTTAACGGCGCCGCTTAGCTGGTTTGTTGTTTCTGTTTCTGTCTCTTTCAGGAAACTCTAGTCTTTGTTGTGAGAATGTTGAGCCAAAACAAACCAACAAGCAAGAGTTCCAGCAATTGAAACTCGAATTTCAATTTGTTAGATTCAAGTAATAATCGAGTCAATGTGTATATAGCTTCCAAAAAAAAAAAACAAAAAGGTTTCAATTTATACATGCAGGAAAATGATATTCCCTCCGTCCCATAATTATTGTCCAGTTTGGATTTTCATTTTTAGTTCAAATTGTATTAAAAGTGAAATCTTAAACTGGACAATAATTTTGGGACAGGGGGAATATTTGTGAATTAATTCATTTGTGAAAATGAATTTAAGTTTCTCTATATATAATTTTTTTTTTTCAATTTTCGCAAAATTGGATTAGTATATTATTTGTGAATATTATCTTCTCTATACCTGCATGAAAATGAATTGGTAAGTCTGTCAAGGCATTAAGAAAACATATGATAATTTTGTAGTAAAATTTTTCTTAATCCTCTGAAAAATATCAAATCATGTCATTTTGTTATTATTCTGAACAATGCAAATGATCAGTGATTGAGTTATTGTTTCTCAAGTGTAGTAAAACGATATATTTTCATGGAATCAGTGTTAAATAAAAAAAGAGTGGCATACAATACTATATCAAGCAAAAGATACCAATTCGAGGGGCGAAACATGCATGGGGGGAGAAAAAGAGAAGCAAAAAGAAAAGGTAAAAAATAAAAAAAGAAGCCAAATCCAAAAAGCTATAGCCAAACATTCGATACTTGAAATGTTCATCGAGGAATCAATCCACCGCTCGTGTTGGTTGGGAGTTGACTGTTTGAGACTTTGACATTTTGTTACTGATGTCTGTCTAGATTCTCTAGACTCTTGTGTTGTGGATATGGGAAGAATTAACAAAAAAAAAAAAAGTCAAATGGTTAAAGAGAACAAGAATCCTAGGCATTTTCACATCTCATTTGTTGGTCCTTTTTGCCCTTTTTTGTGGGTAAAAGTTGACTTCGGATACTCCCCGAAAAAGGTCAGACTTCCCTTGACTTTTGAGAAATTATTACTTTTATTAAATTCAGTATTTAGCATTGAAGCCAAAAAGCCGTCAATTACGAATCCTATTTTACGCTCCTCTCTTTTCCCTTCCTCAACCATTTCTGCTTCTTCTTTTTTGATTTCTACTTCAGGAATTCCTATTCATACTTCTACTCTTTTTCATATTTAATTAAAAAGTAGTGAATTTTCATCAGGAAATAAAACGAAATCAGCCGTCACAAAAATTTCCCGACCTCATCCACACATGTGCGAAAAAGAAAAAGTGGAAATTCCAAAGTTAGCTCACTCAATATCAATTAAAATGGCCCACATTCACTGTTTTGCTGATTTTGGTTTTTCAACTTCTTACAAATTAATACACTTGGGCTCTCAAAATTTTATTAATTTCTAGAGTTATTAATTTATTAATAAAAGAGTAATATTTATTAATTTGTTGATGAGTTAATCATTTACTAATTTAAAGAATTTTTTCATTCCTTTTAATAAAAAAAATTACCGAAAAAATTTATTAGTTTTAAAATAAGAAAATCGGTTTATAGCTTTATTTATATTATTAAAATTTTTCTAATGGAGCAAAATATTATAATTGCAAACATCAAAAAACACTCAAGTTTAAATGTAAGTTAATCCGTTTTAGTTATATTAATTCATAAATGTGTGGGAACTTTTCTTTACATAGGAGATTCTTGAAAAATTATTATCTTGTCAATTACTTAAATTTCCTCATTTTTCTATACTGGTCTCGAGTTAGAACCGTTAAAATTATTGTTAGTGGAGATTATTAATTAATTTATGGAGAATTAATTTTAAAAATGTTCTATTGTACTGGAAATGCTTTGGTACATTTCGACGTCAGACACCATACGATATGGAAAGTTAATAGAATTTCATTGTTTATCTCGAAAATTTAGAGGAGAGCATTGGAGAATGGAGATACACTAGAACATGTGCAGGGATGAAACATGTGTCATTTGTAAAGTAGGACTCCTATCACATCAATACCTATTCCTTGATTGTCCATTCTCGACAAGGTGTGTTGCCATTCTCCGTAGTGAAATGCAATTTAGATGGTCATATGTTGAGTAGCAAAAAATTATACAATGGCTTGGAAGTAGGGATGTTTATGAACCGGATTGGCTTACTATTAATCCGTAATCAAACCCTGACTTACAGTTTTCGTGGACTTTTTTTGGGCTCAGAGGTTTTGGTTTGAAAAGTAAAAAATAAGTAGAAAATAAAAAGAGTGGCTTGAAAATGGAACACATGACCTCTTATTAGAATTGAAGCAATGAGAACACCATTACCATGATGAGTACTTAGAGATTTATTGTATAATTCTTCATCCGTTATTTTATATAAGTAAACTAATATTATTATTATATATATATATGGTCCGATCCGGTTTGATAATTTTTTTTTCAGTGTTAAACCGTAATTTGGACCGTTATAGACGGTTTTTAAATTTCAAATCCACCAAATTAATAATTCAATTATAAATCGTCCGTCAATCCGAACTGATGACCGGTTTGAACGGTTTCACCGGTTTGATCCAAACCATAAACACCCCTAGGTGGAAGGGTAGTCCTTGGGTTAATGTTGCCTATCACATCTTGATTCGTTCTTTGGTTTATTCATTGCAAGAGAAAAACATCTGTTGACAACAAGAGAAATTCTCAGTTATACTAATTGTTGATATGACTAGAGATAGGATTATAGTTTGAAGATTAATAATTCACTTCAGGCAAGAATTAGGAGACGCTAGTGGAAAGTAGCTTGGGATCACTAGTTTTAGTTCACAATGGACGTTTATGTAATTGCTCTATTTTAAAAATGAAATTGAAATTTCAAAGAAAAAAAATAACACAGAGATTGATATAGAGTAGAATTATAGTAGTTTCTTTGTCTTTTAAAAATAATCGATATTATAAATTGTAAATTGTAAATTATACTAAAATTGATATAAACTACTAGCATAATTTACAATGCAAATTTTTTTAATATATAGGATGGATGAAGTGCTTGCTACATATATATATATATATATATATATATATATATTAGTATCATGCTCGCACGTTGTGCAGATTTTATTATATTTTAGAGTAATATTAATATACCATTATTTTCCTATGAAAAATGTCATATGTTTTAGTTTTTCCTTTTTTGGTATATTAGGCATTCGGAGTCCAAATTCAAGAGTATCATATGGTTTTTTTTTTTCGTTTTTGGTATATAGCGCATCCGGTGTTCGAAATCATTGTTCAAACTAATCCGTCTTCGAATTAGGTAGGTCACTTTTGGAAGACAAACCTCTCGCAACAATCATTACTACATGCACATGCATAGATTTAATCATAGATTGTAGTTAACTTAGTCCAATACTGTTACCGCTTTGATCAAGTACTTCTTAGCCATATAGGGCACTTTAAAATACAAATTAATATGCTCAACTATCTAATATGCTTCTTGTTTAGGAGTGTTAGTATATATATAAAAAAAAAAAATTCTAAATACGAATTAATATGATCAATTGTTTACTATCCTAATATACATTTAATGTATCTAGACTTAGTTTTGAATTGTATTCGTAATATAATGATTCGGTAACTAATCTCTTTATTTTTGTAATTAATCTCTTTTTATTTTTGGAAATATCAAATAAAATTTTTTGAGAAATAATATTAATCTAAATTTAATGAATCCATATTTAGTTTTCAAATTGTATTTACAATATAATTATTTGTGACTAATCTCTTTTTTTTTAAAAAAAATTAATCTCTTTTTCTTTTGAAAAATATATTAAATGGAATCATATGTAAAGTAATATTAACATATCTTGCATGTATACAAACTTGGTTTCGAATTGTATTTGTAGTATAATTATTTAGTAACTTATCTCTTTTTATCTTTGAAAAATATATCAAATGGAATAATCTGAAAAATAATATGAACATAGTTTAATTTATCCAGGCTTAGTTTCGTATTGTA